CAACATTTCATACATAGTTAATTGTAATTATATGTTTATACCTCTAAACATTGTCAAAATTACAATTTTTTTAGGGTGTAGACTTTTCTGCTATTTGCCATTGTTTCTTATTTGATATTTTTAATTGTAATATTTCTACCTTTAATGTAATAGGCCTATGTATGTAATATTTAATATGTGAAACTGAATTTTTATGTAATTTTATGTACCGTATTTTTACATTTATTTTTTTTATCATTTTGTATATTTCCTGGTTTTTTTTTTCGCGGTTCCGACGGCCCTGCCACCAGAAGGACCCCACTGGAAATAAGCCTTCTTCTAGACTTTCGTGGGCTATCCTTTACACCGAATAAATCCAATCCAATCCCATCATTTGAATATTTAGAGTTGCTACAGTAGTGGCAGGTGACAGATTTAATACTAGAATTAGAGGAAGAGTCTAATGGTGGAATGGGCTATGATGTTTATGAATTAAAAGGCATGACATGAAATTGAAACACTAAAAAGAGGACATAACTAAGACATAGGTATCGAAGTAAAGTTTCCAATAAGATGTGAACAAAATAAGAGAAATTTGGGAAGATATGTATGTATATTATAAAATATACAGTATGTTATCAGAAAGTCAAGAAAGAAAACCATTGTACAATGCTTCATATAAATTAAAAACAGATGGCTTGATGCAAAATGAAAGAAAAAGAGGAAGATATGTTTATCAAATCTTAAGTCCCTAAACTAATGTTTAGTCTCAGTCTATATAGTGATTGTTACCATAGTGAGGACACTGTATTTTTCTATACCACTGTTTCATAATTTGTTTAATCATAAATGTATGTGGGATTATTTTGAGATGTATTATAACTGAATTTTATCTTATGATATTAATAACATTATTACATTTTAATTTTTCATTATACATTAAAGTGTGCGTAGAAATGGTTGTTATGGTAATGACGTTTTGTTCTACAAACCACTGCATAAATTTCCAAAATTATTTTATATGGAAATTAAAAACCATATTGAGATGATATACATGAAATTATATTTGAAATTGATTATTAATGTTCTCCTATGATATTTAAGTTTTATATATTTTAGTGGTAATGATTTACTGTTGGTCTGATAAAATGAAATAAATATTAATAAACATTTAATAAACATTTTTCATTAAACTTACAAGTTTTCAATAAGTTTGCTAGCAATGGTTGCTATGGTGATTACCTATTTTTAACATTATTATCTACACCTTTTTTTAAACAAAGACCGTGTGTTATTTAAAAAATCTAAAGCCAAATAAACAGAAATTCTAGTGTCTTTTATTCATTGCTATGGCGATAACTATCAATATTGTATTCACATTAAGATGTTATCTTTCATTTATGTTATCTTACAATATTAATATTTACTAAACATCTCTCACGAAACCTTTAAATATGTTAATAAATTTCAGGTTTTCATTTTAATAATTTACCAAAAAATAGGATATTTCAATTAGCAACCGTTGCTATGGTGATAACCTTGCTTTCATACTAAATTGTGTTATCTTAGGATATTTAATAAACATTTTTTCATAAATCCTATACTAATTTATTATACTTT